AATAACTTTCTTTAAAACAAAGTAGCATAACAAGTACGTACGCCTAAATCCAAAATTTTATTGCTTTAGATATCAATCCAGAATAACCCATTGTAGATATCAACTTACCATCTTTTTTCTCGTGTAACTAAAGTAGTAGTAAGGTACTAAATAGTATATATGGCACATTTTCCAAACATTCATTCTATCATGTTTGTCTTGGCCTCAAAGGAGCAATAAGACTCCCTTTGGTACACAAGACCAAACAAAGTACTAAAACATTTCAATTTTTTTCTCACACAACAAGACCGAACAATGTGGGACATGGATCGTTTGTATAAAAGAAATGAATATCTGATTGAAAATTAAACATGGTCCAATCAAGTATAAAAAACTCAGCCTAACAAAACTAAAGTTAATAGCTATTATGAGTGGTACAATGGGTCCCTATAAAAGAAAAATACTCAACATTAGTGAGGGCTGGGGTCTAGGGATAGTTTTTTTTATGCATGAATGGAGAATCCATATGCTCTAAAGTTGATAACTTTTATGAACAAGTGACATTGATTCTACATATAGTTTATAGCAATGAAACATTCAAATGTCAATTGACAAGTATGCATTTTAATTATGCTGAAAACTAAAAAAAAAATCATACATGCGTATAAATAGAGTTACGACAGCCCGAACGATTAGATTAAAGAACAACTATTGAAATGATTCTTTATAAAAATTTGCAATCATATCGAGATGGTCTTGCCAATTAAGTTACTGAAGCAATAGACATATTATCGATAAAAAAGCAAATTTAATCAGTTAGACGTTTTTACAAACGGGTGGTATGCACTATCCATAAACAAATATTTACAATCCTAAAGTTGAATAATGAGTTTGCAGATTCACACATCGACTCTATTCGAAGTGGTCATGAAAGAGAAAAAAAAAAAAAAAAAGAGATAATGAAAATCATATGCCACTTTTCTGTATGGCCAAAATGATTCACCTTTTTATTTGTTAACATGAAATTAACAGAGGACTTCCCAACATGATGCATGAAATCACGCTAGCATTGAAGATGAATAACAATTATAAAACGATGTTTATTTTTGATGTCCTCCAACCATATTTCACAAAGAAAAATTAGTAAATTACAGTTTTCTTGCCAATTTTTTTTTTGATGTGAGAATGTAGAACATTTTTTTAACAGATCCTCTTTAAAAAAAATAGGACAATTTCAAATATAGTTTTTTTTGTTCCCTCCACAAAAAAGTAGAATAGTTCTTTTGTCCCCACCATATATAGAAAAACATTCCTTTTAACAAAAAATTCAGTTTTAAGCATCTAAAATTATACTTTTAGTCCTTCGATTTATATCATACTTTTTTTTGGTAATATATATTTAATTTTGTATTAAAAGAACATGTTCTATTATTAAAATTTATAGTTTTTACCCTTTTAAATAATATTTTTGGTCTTTCAACTTAAATTGTAGTTTTTTATATCTTTTACTTTTAAATACTTTTTACTTTTATTATATCAATTATATAATTTTATTTACTGAAAAATATATAATTAAATCTAATATATTGTTTTTAACAAATTATATCCTTACAATGTGTAACGTTCCAAAATTTTAAATAAATTACAATTTTTAAAAACATTTATATTTATTATAACCCCCAATTAAAATATATTAGTTAACCAATTCCAATAAGTTTCAAGACTCAAATTAACATTTACAAAAACATAGTTTCAACAATATCAATTCAATCATAAATCAAAACGAACAACTGAAAAAATAGTAAGAAAATTCAATGATAAATATCTGTGACAATAACCCAATCTTCAAACCATGCACGTGTGCAGTCAAGCTTTACATTTACCTTTACTTGTACCTGTAGCTCCTGAAACATTTATTTTAAAAGCGAAAGGGTAAGCATGAAACTTAGTGAATTCTAAACATAACATTGTTGGGTTTTTATTCAAAATATAGTTTCAAAAACATAAGATTTAGGCAACGGAAGACTTATAAATTTAGAATAGCATAAAAAGTTAAACCCACCAAGGATCATCTTGCAAATGTAGAAAGATTAAAAACATCAACGAAAGAAAATATGAAGAAATAACAACCTTTGTAGCTCTTTGGGTCCTCTTGGGAGGCTTGGAGGTTGATGAAGAATATTGAACTTAAGAGACAACAACAATGACTAAACTTGATGTATGCTATTCCAAAACTCTTAAGACTCTTAAGCTTTATGTTCTTATCAAAATAAGAACATAAAGAGAGCATAAGCAAGAGTATGATCTTCAAATCTTTAACAGAAACATGATAGAAACCCACACACACACATACACATGTTATGGTTTTGGTACATTCAAGAGGCAAAAGAAATGCAAGCCTCAAGTCTTAAAGCATAAAACAAGGTTCTTAACCACAAGGTCTTAAGACTTTTGACCAAATCATGTCCCTATGTCATGAACATGTCCTAACATTTTTTCATAGATTGATTTCTTTCAATTGAAGAATTGAAAAACTCATCCCTTTTCTTTGTTTATCAATTTTCGGCCCATGCTTTAAAAAGAAGAAGAGATGTTTGAATTTTATAAACTCAAAGTTTATAAAATATAAACTTTGTCTTTAGGTAAAAGACAAAAGGATTCAACTAGTCCAAAGGGTTGTACATGACTTATTAATTCATACCAAATGAAATAATATGCTATTTGCTAATGAAAATTAATTATTTGTTAGAAATAAATAATTTCCAATTTAATTATAAGAGTTTATTGAATATTTATTAGAATCAATTCCTAATAAATAATCAATTGTATCAAGTTTTTGTTAGTGTGACCCATCAGTATCATATGTTAAATAGCAATATCACTTTAATATGATTCTTGAGCATACTAAATCTTTCAGTCTCCCACTTGTGTAAGATTCATATTAGACTGATATAGATGTTGGATTAATGTCTAAGTCCATAACTATAATTGGTAAGACTTGACCCGAACCGGCATGGTCCATTT